AGGCTGGTCTGGATCTCCTGGCCTCGAGCATTCCTCTTACCTCAGCCTCTGGAGTAGCTGGCATTACAGGCGAGAGCCACCATGCCTGGCTCTGGGCTCATCTTGTGTACTCCCTGTCATCACCCTAGATACAGCTATTTCTCCAAGGAGTCCTGGTTCCTTTTATTGGAGAATGGTTTTAGAACCAGTAATCAATTTAACATCACAAAAATAACCTCACATTCTATGGCCCCTGATGTGATATGATAGGAAATATATCACACCATCTAGGAAATACTCTTGCCTCTTGACTCAACTCAAGAAAACAACTTGATGGATGACAGAGCCTTGGCAGATGATAAAAAAGGAAAAAAAATTCTTTTTTTTAAAGAAAACAACTTGAGTCAGGCACAGTGGCTCACTCTTGAAATCCCAACACTATGGGAGGCTAAGGCCGGTAGACCACTTGAGGCCAGGAGTTTCAGACTAGCATGGGCAACCCAGCGAAACCCCGTCTCTACTAAAAAGAAAAAATTAACTGGGTGTGGTGGTGGGCGCCTGTAATCCCAGCTACTCGGGAAGCTGAGGCACAAGAATTGCTTGAACCCAGGAGGCAGAGGTTGCAGTGAGCCAAGATCGCGCCACTGCATTCCAGCAAGGACAACACAGAGAGACTCTGTCTCAAAAACAAAACAAAACAAAAAAAAAAGAAACAGAAAAGAAAAAACAGAAAACAGAAAAGAAAACAGAAAAGAAAAAAAAAAAAAAGAAATAAATCTGTCAAATCTCAACAGCTAATTAACGGTTTGTAAGAAATTCTGTAAAGCTATAACCCCAAGATCCCCAAGTAATCATGTGATCTCACTTGCAGTGAAGGAACAGATAGCAGATGAGAGTAGGGAGTGAAATGGAGAGTCCTAAAGCTGTCTAAATGCTTGGATCCAGTCAACTATGAGGTCAACTCTCCCCCTATTCTTCCATGATGTGGTTATATGAACCAAATAACTGTCTCTGTTTTGTTTATGCTGAATTGAGTTGGCCTTCTGTTGCTTACAACCAAAGAGAGCTAACAAATGTAACACACACAAACAAGGAAAGGCTTAGTAACAAGAATGAGCTCAATACACTGAGAAGAATAGAAAATAGGTTGAATCTTTAGGTAAAACCAGATTCTAGGTGAGATTTATTTAAAGCTAGATTAAATTTATTTGCTTTTAAAATTTAACAGTCTAAAAAAAAAACAAGAAACAAAATTAAAAATTTAGGCCAGGTGCAGTGGCTCACACCTGTAATCCTGACACTTTGGGAGGCTGAGGCGGGTGGATCACGAGGTCAAGAGATGGAGACCATCCTGGCCAACATGGTAAAACGCCAACTCTATTAAAATTACAAAAATTAGCTAGGCATGGTGGTGCACGCCTGTAGACCCAGCTACTCAGGAGGCTGAGGCACGAGAATCGCTTGAACCCGGGAGACAGAGGTTGCAGTGAGCACTCCAGCTTAGCAACGGAGCAAGACTCCATCTCAAAAAGAAAAAAAAAAAATTAATAGTCTAATTTTATTACTGCCACACTCCTGTGTGTTGGTAGCATTAACTACAGGGTTCACTATTTGGTGTATTTTTCTTTATTCTTTATTTTCAATCGCACTCTGATCATTTATCATAATTTTAGAAATCAACAGATCCAACATTACTCTTCATAATATAACTAGGGCCTAAAGTGAATAAATTATTTGTCCACACTCATAATCAGCTAAAGGTAGACATGTGGAGCATAGTGCTAAAGCACAGTGCTATAAGAAGGAAGTAGGTTGTAGAGACAGATAGGACTGGGTTTGTCCCCTGGTTCCTTTCTTCACACAGTCCTTTTCATTTTTCATATAATTTTTACATAAGTAGTACATGGACATGAGAGAAAATTCAGAAGCTTATACTATAAAAAGCAGACTATTTCTTGTATCCCTCTGTCTGATATCTACCCCACCGTCGCCTTTGACAACCACTGTTACAGTTTCTTGGGTACTCTTCCAATGATAATGCATTCAAGCATATTGAAGACTTGATCATTTAGACTTCAAGACACATGATGGTCACTACGATTTTTAAAACTAAAACTATACTAGAAGGACCAGAGTTTGGAAGGCCAGAAAAAAGTAGGACTAGAGAGAAATGAGGATCTATGAGATTCCCTTCCTAACAGTTCTGGCATTTAAAAAGCAACATATTAAAAAACAAAACAACTTCAGTCCAACAGAAAAAGACTAAGAATCAAATACAACTCCTGAAAAGGCATGATTTGTTGAGATTTTATAAAGAGGTATGTACAAGCACCTACTCTAGACAGAAGAAAAAAGAAATAATGAAATTAACCTGAGAACAAGTTTAGTTAACAGTTAGAGGAATATATATGCAGTTCAAGTACACCTCATCAACCCTCAATAAAGTAAAATCTTTTCCCTCCTGAATTTATCCAATAAATATCTGATTTAAGAGGAGGTAGGTAAGAAGAATATTATTCTCCACAGATGTTAAGAACTTTAGAGTAGCCATGAAAAAAAATCCCTTGGCCTAAGTAATATATTAAAGATGGAATGAATTAAGTCAATCATTCAGCATACAATGTTAACAAAACCAGTACATTTGTAGGAGCAAATAACATTTTATTTAAGAGTTCAAATGAAAGTTTCTTTAGGGTTTTTTGGATTCTCTGTGGAAAAAAAAAGATCTTCTAAATTCCTAGATCAATGGTATAACCATTGTAACATTTAAATATTTAAGTCCCAGAAAGTAATACCTCTAATGGAAATGGAACATAATTTTGGCATGCTTTTAACAAGTATCAAAAGGTACACCAGTCAGAATAGCTATTATTAAAAAGTCAAAAAATAACAGATACTGACAGTGTTACAGAGAAAGAAATGCTTATACACCCTTGGTGGGAGTGTAAATTAGTTCAACCATTGTGGAAAGCAGTGTGGCGATTCCTCAAAGAACCAAAAACAGAAATACCATTTGATCCAGCAATCCTATTACTGGGTATACACCCAGAGGAATATAAATGGTTCTGTTATAAAGACACATGCACGTGTATGTTCACTGAAGCATTGTTCACAATAGCAGACACAGAATCAACCTAAATGCCCATCAGTGGTAGACTGGATAAAGAAAATGTGGTACATATACACCATGGAATACTATGCAGCCATAAAAAAGAATGAGATTGTGTCCTCTGCAGGGACATGGATAGAGCTGGATACCATTATCCTTAACAAACTAATGCAGAAACAAAAACCAAATACTGCATGTTCTCACTTATAAGTGGGAACTAAATAATGAAAACACATGGACACACAGAGGGGAACAAGACACACTGGGGCTTACCAGAGGGTGAATGAAGGGTGGAAGGAGGGAGAGGATCAGGAAAAATAACTAATGGGTACTAGACAAAATACCTGGGTGACAAAACAAACCACTGTGACACAAGTTTACCTATATAACAAACCTACACATGTACCCCTGAACTTAAAAGTTAAAAAACAAAAACAAAAAAAAAGGTAATGTGAATTACGTATAATTATAACCAATTTCTTAATTTAGTTATAAGGGAAATAAATTATAATTAGACTGTATTAACAAATGTGGAACTTAATCATCAGAAATCTTCAAAATGAATGTTATGTATCAGGTAATTTAACAAGACAGAACACAGTTCTAAAATTATAAGGAAATACAAAATATATTATTCTACATACAGAAGCTTGTTTAAATACAACTCATCTTTAATAATTAAATAGGATCTTGTCAGTTTGCATTTTTTGTCTTCTTTCAAATCAGGAAAGAAGAAAAGGCAAGCATCAAACAGTTTATAGAGTTATCTTGCACTATTGTAGAATAATGCATTACACAATGTATACCTGCTTTCTTATTTGTGTAACACTATCCCCCAAATAAATCAATGGACAAAAATAAATTGGAATCAGTTCAAAAGTATGTTTGCCACTTTCAAACATGGAATTAATATTCAGTCCATATATGTAGTCATTTAAATTTTAATCTAAGAAATGACGACAATGGTTTGCAAATAACTTTAAAAAAAATCAACCATCTGTTTTAACAACAAATCAATTCTGTGTTTGCATGCATAGTAGTTAGGAACTAAATTAATAATATAATCACAGAATTATTTAGATGTGATTTTTTTAAGAGAGAGATTTCATTTTCCTAGCCTGTCAAGCAAATGTCTGAAATAAACAAAAAAATGGTCAGAAGCCATATATATAAGTGAAATCAAGGACCATCTGACCATAAAAAAAAATTAAACAATGGAATTACTAATAAGAACACATATATAATAGAAGAATAAAACTTTGAAATTATTACCTTAAAAGATAAAAATAATTTCAACATTTTGTTAGTATCTTCCTCAATGTTAGAGGATTTTTAAAATAGCAGAATTTCCCAACTAAAAGATTTGGAGAGGCTGTACTACAGTATTTAAATAACAGAAACAAAAAACCCCAAATCCCCAACACCAGGAAGTGTAGGCGACACTGGCAGTGGATGGTAAGAGAAGTATATAATCAGGTTACTCTACCCATGAGTACATTTAAAGAATCACAGTTCATTTCAAATTTCCATAATTCCAAAATACTATGAGACATCTTCTCAGGATAAGTTTTTAATAAAGATTAAAATACAAAGTGGGAGATTAAACCACTTTTCTCTGAGATTTTAAGCTTGGCACACACAAAGTAACCTTTGGCTCATACACACATATACACAAATTAGGATGATAAAGCCAAATGATATTATGCTTCATGCAAATAATCTTGTTTTTATTCTCTAGTAATGCATTTTACATCTTTATATAATGGCAGAAACATGATTGGGTTCACTCAAGACAAACCTATGGGTTGTCCTTTAAATGATCATGTCTCCAAAAAGACTTACTGCTAAATAGTAAAAGTATTATTCTTAAAATCATCAGTGTTTTCTACAAGATGGCTACAATAAGACTTACCTCAGTCTTTTTACTAATGTGATCTGTAAATGAAAAAGAAATAAAGATGAAACTTTATTGAAGGAATTTAACATATAAAAATGTTTTAACATGTAAAAAAAAAAACAAAAAAAACACCAAACGGACAGAATTTCAAAATTATCTCATATGAGTTACAGAATTCATTTAAGAGTTTTCTGATTCTCATCTGATTTACTTTTCTAGGTTTAAGATGTTAAAATTCAGTATATAATTACTAATTTACTCAGCTTAAGGATCAAGTCTTATTATCCTAGTAAATGACACCCATATCAAGGCATATTATTGCATTTTAAGCATATGAGTTCCACAGTTCCACATAATTTAGTTTTTTGATCCACATAATTTGGGAGGTGGCGGGAGCAAGTTAAGGGGACACAAATATGTCCGAAATCAAATTACAGGCTACTACAACTACAAAAAATGTTCAGATTGCTGCTTTTGTGTAACGAAAAGGTAGAATAGTAATTTATGTCCTTTAAAACTATTAGCTATTTTATTTTAAAAACATACATCAAGGTGATTTAATAGTACTATAAAAAAACCTAAAACTTGATATATATTTATACAATTAACACAAAAAATAACCCATAACAAATATATCTAGATGAAAGAAATTACTGGCCTAGAAACAACACAGCATTTCTGGAAAGCAATTACCAAGAGCAGAATGAGGAAAGCGTAAGGGAATTTAAAGTACAAATAAGGCCAGGGGCGATGGCTCACACCTGTAATCCCAGCACTTTGGGAGGTCCAAGCAGGCGGACCACCTGAGGCCAGGAGTTTGAGACCAGGCTGGCCAACATGGTGAAACTCTATCTCTACTAAAAATACAAAAAATTAGCTAGGCACGGTGGTACATGCTTGTAATCCCAACTACTTGGGAGACTGAGGCATGAGAATCGCTTAAACACAGGAGGCAGAAGCTGCACAGAGCCAGGATCGTGCTATTGCACTCCGGCCTGAGCGACAGAGCAAGACTCTGTCTCTAAATAAAGTACAAATAGTGAGCAAGTATTCTTATTTAAATTGGAGATGATCAGGATATCTAATACTTAACAATGCTTCTTGTCTACAGCAGAACTTTTCTATTCTCAAGGACCAAAAATAATACAACTTTCTTACGACTCAGAATCTAAAAGTTGGTCCAGTTCTCTAAAGAATTTCTTGATCAGAACAGTGTCCATAAACACAGTAAATGCCAAAATCACCAACTTCAGATCAAACTACCAAATCTTGGTAAGTTACACAGTCACTCTTCTAGCATGTTCTATTTAGCATACAATGTGAAGCCAGAACCTAAGGAAGAACCTCAACTGTGTTAATCATGACTTGAAAAAGCTGTGTAGCTTCCCTTTAATAACATATTGATAACTCGGGAGGCTGAGGCAGGAGAATGGCGTAAACCCGGGAGGCGGAGCTTGCAACGAGCTGAGATCCAGCCACTGCACTCCAGCCTCGGCGACAGAGCGAGACTGTCTCAAAAAGAAAAAAAAAAAAAGAACAACAACAACAAAAAACATACTGATATTTTTCTTTTTTTTTTTTTTTTTTGAGATAGAGTCTCGCTCTGTCCCCCAGCCTGGAGTGCAGTGGCACAATCTAGGCTCACTGCAAGCTCCACCTCCCGGGTTCACGCCATTCTCCTGCCTCAGTCACCCGAGTAGCTGGGACTACAGGCGCCCACCATCCCCAGCTAATTTTTTGTAGTTTTAGTAGATACGGGGTTTCACCGTGTTAGTCAGGATGGTCTCGATCCCCTGACCTCGTGATCCGCCCACCTCGGCCTCCCAAAGTGGTGAGATTACAGGCGTGAGCCACCGTGCCTGGCCATACTGATGTTTTTCTAAAATTCACATACTACCTAAGAAATTAAATATGGAAAACAGGAGTTTTAGAAAGCATTAGTTGCATGTTTCTGCCTAGTTTTTAATAAAATGTCTTTTTTTTTTTTTCTGAGACAGAGTCTCCCTCTGTCGCCCAGGCTGGAGTGCAGTGGCGCGATCTCAGCTCACTGCAACCTCTGCCTCCCGGGTTCAAGCGATTCTCCTTTCTCAGCTTCCCGAGTAGCTGGAGCTACAGGCACATGCCACCATGCCCCGCTAATTTTTTGTATTCTTAGTAGAGATAGGGTTTCACTGTGTTAGCTAGGATGGTCTTGAACTCCTAACCTCGTGATCCGCCCACCTTGGCCTCCCAAAGTGCTGGGATTACAGGTGTGAGCCACCGCGCCCGGCCATATTTGTTTTTTTAACTCCCAAAGCAAAGCAACTTAATCACTGGCAGCCTACAGGGAAAAACTTTCTTGATCCTCAAAGGAAAACAATACAATCTTCTAAATATATTCTCTGATTTTCAAAGAAAGGCTTATTTCTGAAAGCAGTATTTTAGGTTTTCTCTTTTTGAAATTATTGCTAAGGTAGGCCGGGCGCAGTGGCTCAAGCCTGTAATCCCAGCACTTTGGGAGGCCGAGACGGGCAGATCATGAGGTCAGGAGATCGAGACCATCCTGGCTAACACGGTGAAACCCCATCTCTACTAAAAAGTACAAAAAACTAGCCGGGCGAGGTGGCGGGCGCCTGTAGTCCCAGCTACTTGGGAGGCTGAGGCAGGAGAATGGTGTAAACCCGGGAGGTGGAGCTTGCAGTGAGCTGAGATCCGGCCACTGCACTCCAGCCTGGGCGACAGAGCGAGACTCCGTCTCAAAAAAAAAAAAAAAAAAAAATTATTGCTAAGGTAATATTTATCCTCACAGAACAATGCCCAATGTACTAAGGCTGAATTCATATGAATCAAATAAAATGCTCTGTCAATGAACAAACAGCTGTCCATACGGTGAGCAACTATTCTGACTGGTATAGACAAAGCGCTGTTCAATAAAATTTTCTGTGATGATAGTAATGTTCTATAGCTGGACTAACATGGAAGCCACTAGTCATATGTGACTACTGAGCACTTGAAATATGGCTAGTGCAATTAAGAAGCTACATTTTCATTTTAATTTTTACTTAAATTGCCACACATGAATAGCAGCTACCATACTGTACGGCACAGGCTAAGTATTTTTTAACATTTCCCACATTAAAAATAATGTGCTTTGTGGTTTTTCTTCAAAAGTTTAGTGGATAGTAAAATTCCTTCTGTCTTCTCCATTTGCTAAAAAATACAAATGATATTATAAACACTTTTCTGGTAATAAGTCTTGTCCTAAAATTTGTATTTTAATTTTTTAAGATGCAGTTCCAGATAACTTGAAGACATTGACCAATAATGGCTGAAATATGAAAACATTATTCCTGGCTTAGTGTAAGCAAAATCAGTTCATGTATAAGGAAAATAATATGTTTCAAGATGACTCAAACTACAAATGTCAATTTTTATTTTCAGTAAGTTTTAGAACAGAGACAAACTCAAAAATACAAAAAGATAAATTCTTACTAAAGTTTTATGGGGTTTTAATGACTGATTTTAAATTACTTTAAAACCCCAAATGGTTTTAGTTTATTTCCCAACAGTTTTGTCCCTTCCAAAACTCATGTTGAAATTTAATTGCCACCAGGTGTGGTGGTTCACGCCTGTAATCCCAGCACTTTGGGAGGCCAAGGCGGGCAGATCTCCTGAGCTGAGGAGTTTGAGACCACTCTGTGCAAGATGGTGAAACCTCGTCTCTACTAAAAAATACAAAAGACTAGCTGGGCGTGGTGGCACAGGCCTGTAGTCCCAGCTACTCAGGAGACTGAGGCATAAGAATTGCTTGAGTCACAGAAGCAGAGGTTACAGTGAGCCACAATTGCACCACTGCACTCCAGCTTGGGCTACAGAGTGAGAATCCATCTAAAAAAAAAGAAGAAATTTAATTGCCATTGTAACAATATTAAGAGGTGGGATCTTTAACAGGTAATTAGGCCATCAGAGCTCCACCCTCACAGGTGGGATTGGTTATAAAAGGGCAAATTTGGCCCCCTTTTGCTCTCACTCTTGCCATGTGATGACTTGTCAAGAAGGCCCTCACCCGATGCTGGCATCTTGATACTGGACTTCCCAGCTTCCAGAACTGTGAGCCAATAAACTTCCTTTCATTATAAATGACCCACTCTCAGGTACTCTGTTACAGCAGTACAAAACAAACTAAGACACAGGTTTACATTTTTTACATTCTACATGATACATGAACAACTTTTACTTATTGTTTAAAAATTATAAAGATATTTACAACTGAAATATAAAATAGATGTAGAATAGTTCTTTTAGCATAATAGCATTGTATATATATTACCTTCCGAATGAAAATCTTTTAGTGATACTGTGAGAGGTTTGTCTTTTCCCTGATGATTCTTTCTTTTATCTTTTTTATTCATAACTTTGGACTGAGTTGAAGTATTTTCAGCATTTTCATACTCCTAAAAAGAATTACCAACAATAATTAAGTTCAGTTTACAAACTGTAAAATAAACTCACCAATAGGTAATATGTTTCTTAAAGTTTATTTTTTTAAAAAATAAAAGGCAAATAACCAAAATTTAGGCCAGCCAAATTGTATAAAAGGATACCTCTTTATTCATTTACTCAATCCCTTACATCTTAAACATTAAAATGAAAACAAAAAAAGTTACACCTTGGTCTATAACCCCCTCCTCGTTGCTACCTTCCTCCTTTCAAGACCAAATTTAAGACAATAATCAGCAATTTCCTGCCTCATCCCACTGAAATCTGGCTTCTGCTGGTCTCTGACACTAAAATTAAAGTCAACCTCCTCTTTATCGCCAAATCCAAAACACATTTTTTTTCAAGCATCTCTTGGTTTTCTTAATACATTTCTGACTACTGCTAAGCTTCCTTTGCTGGCTTCTTTTCTCAACCGTCTCAAAAGCGTAGCAGGTGTTCACATTATCCCACTCTTAACCTATTTAACCTTTATACCCACTGCTCTTCAATCTCAAAGTTTAAAGTTCTACCAATAAACTAATTATTTCTCTATAGACAGACAACTGAACTGGAATGTTCAATAAGCATCTCCACATGAAATATATTCTATCTTTCCATCTCACCACCCTGCCTTCCCCACTCGATCCTTTATGAAGTACCTTGTTATGCCGCCACCATCTGCACATCTGTCTAAGTTGGAAACCTCAGAGTATCCTTGCCTACTCTCCTACACACCTTACAGCCAATTAATTACTAGGTCTTGTTTAACTTATCTCCTGAAGATCTCTTAAATTCATTCTCTGTTCTTTGTACATTCAGTCATTTCCCCAACTCCCTTTTGCTTGGATACTGCAACAGTCTCTAATTTTAGCTCCTCAATCCATCTTCTACACTGCTACACATGAGTTTCTAAAATGAAAACCCAAAATCAATCTAAAAGTTAAAATGATTAGGGCCGGGCATGGTGGCTCACGCCTGTAACCCCAGCACTTTGGGAGGCCGAAGTCGGTGGGTCACAAGGTCAGGAGATCAAGACCATCCTGGCTAACATAGTGAAACCCCATCTCTACCAAAAATACAAAAAATTAGCCAGGCGCGATGGCAGGCGCCTGTAGTCCCAGCTACTGGGGAAGCTGAGGCAGGAGAATGGCGTGAACCCGGGAGGCGGAGCTTGCAGTGAGCCAAGATCACACCACTGCACTCCAGCCTGGGCAATAGAGTGAGACTACGTCTCAAAAAAAAACGATTAAACAGCTTTCTGCCAATGGATGTATAAAACCCAGTCTCCTTGCCTAGTACATGAAGTAATTTATGTCCTATCCTTCTGGCTGTATCTCCAGAAGTTCTAGGTCCTTACATGACAGTTTTTCAAATATGCTATATTCTTTCACATGTATACTTCTTATATACTTGCCACTCCTTCCTTCAGAATGCCTACTTTCCTCTTGTCTACCTCATGAACTTCTAATACATCTAATAAGACTCTTTTTAAAGAATCCTTGCCTAAAACCCATCCCCATTAAAGGCACTGAAAAACCTTCTAGTTTTCTGAGTTTCCACTGCACTGAGAACATACATCTTTCAATACTATACACTATGTCTCCCTCCACTACACTCAAGGGGCACATTTTGGCTATTCAATAATTATTTGGTGAATAACTGACAGAACAGAACAGAAAATGCCATCTCAGTCAGGCATGGTGGCTCACTCCTGTAATCCGAGCACTTTGGGAGGCAGAGGTGGGCAGATCACCTGAGGTCAGGAGTTCAAGACCAGCCTGACCAACATGGAGAAACCCCGTCTCTACTAAAAATACAAAGTTAGCCAGGGTGGTGGCGCATGCCTGTAATCCCAGCTACTCAGGAGGCTGAGGCAGAAGAATCGCTTGAACACGGGAGGCGGAGGTTGTAGTGAGCCGAGATTGCGCCATTGCACTCCAGCCTGGGCAACAAGAGTGAAACTCTGTCTCAAAAAAAAAAAAAAAAAGAAAAAGAAAAGAAAAGAAAATGCCATCCTAAACTTTAGTTATCTGTTATAAAAATCCTTAGGCTAAAACAATTGTATTAAGAGTTGTTTTACTGAATATTGACTTTTATCTCAATGACTACACATCAATACAATCCCATCGAACTACCCATTGCATACAAAAGAAGTTCCTCCCTTCTCTTAGTCATTATTATCTGCTAAAACCAGTGATTTTGAGTATTACACCTATGACTGTGCAAAGAACACTGGCTGGGAGTATGACATTTTATCAACACTATTTACTCTATTTCTCCTCTAGGATACAGGTAATCCTTCTAGCTTTAGAATCTAGACATATATCCATAAATCTTAACAGCAAGAAGTCACCTTTGTATAATATTCTATTTGATAAATTTTATCTCCTAATTGAGCAAAACAGGATTACTTCTCCAGTGTAACCTGATAGTCCATTTAAATGATTAAATCATAGTAAAACTAGCTGTATCAATTTTTGTAATTTTCCTGCTTTGTGTCTAAATGGCTATGTAACAATAATGGTTATAGTTCATTCTTCGTCATTTGGGGTAACGGAAAGAGGGATATGGAAATGAAACACATATAATATACACAGCCCACTTTATTAGCAACTTTTTTCCTTTTCCCTGGAACTAAGTTCAATAACTAGCAAAAGCAATGCTGTGAATTTTTTTGTTAAGATGGGATCTCCCTTTGTTGCCCAGGCAGGAGGAGTACAGTGGGATGATCATAGCTCACTGCATCCTCTAACTCCTGGGCTCAAGGGGTTCTTCCACCTCAGCCTCCCAAGTGGCTGGGAATACAGGTTCACACCACCATGCCTAGCTAATTTTAAAAAACCATATATTTAGAGACAGGGTCTTGCTGTGTTAACCCAAGCTAGTCTCAAACTCCTGGCCTCAAGCAATCCTCCTGTCTCAGCCTCCTGAGTAGCTGCTGTGAATTTTAATTATTTGATTGTTTTCATTTTGGATGAAGACACTAATGTACAAGGACATGGCCAAAATGTCTTAAGGATGACCAGAGACCATTTAAGATCAACCACTGAGTAATCACAGCTTGAACAAATTTTATAAACCAAAAAATAATCCCAATAAATGTTAAAGAATAAAATGTTAAATGATATTAATATAATGAATACTCACACAACTTAGGAAACCAACACTTCTTTTTACTCAAATCCTCCTACAATAACAAGCTATAGAATGCATTTCAGCACACAACCTAATATCAAAGTTCAGTGACAAATGCTGAGCTTTCAAGGCCAAAATTTCAGAAATGGCCTCCTACTTTATTTGATTGTAGTGCATCTCTGGCAGAGGTCTCTTAAAGAATGCCCGTGTACTATAGTAGCCCATATTAAAATTTTAAATCCACTTATTTTCTATGTTCATTTAAAATTAAAATAATCAGCCAGGCACGGTGGCTCACGCCTGTATTCCCAGCACTTTGGGAGGCCAAGGCAGGTGGATCAGCAGAGCTCAGGAGTTCGAGACCAGCCTGGCCAACATGGTGAAATCCCATCTCTACTAAAAAACAAAATTTAGCTGGGTGTGGTGGCTCACGCCTGTAGTCCCAGCTACTCAGGAGGCTGAGGCGGGATAATTGCTTGAACCTGGGAGGCGGAGGTCGCAGTGAGGTGAGATCATGCCACTGCACTCCAGCCTGGGCAACAGACTGAGACTCGGTCCCAAGAAAAAATAATAATAAAAATAAATTAAAATCATCTGTTGTGAATTTTATTCTCTCTTCCCTTCATCTTGGGTGGGGAAATTCCTTAACTAAACGTTCCAAGTCGCCAGACAAAGCTTTAGTCCAACTGTTTCTGTTCTATCTCAAAAGTTGAGAAGGAATCCTATTATAAACACTTCTTGGTAATATTTTATTACGGTAATGAATTTTTGAATAAACTTTATAGAAGAAATTTTATGTAAAATTCAAATAGGTTGATTTTAACTTCACCACTTAAACTTCTAAAATATCTAAATCATTAAGTATGTAAATACCTTTTTGTGTTCTTCATATTCTAATTTACTTAGTAATAATGCCTTCTCAAGATCTGCTTCAAACATTTCAGATGTCAGCTAAAAAAAAAAAAAGTTTCACAATAAACAGACAGTATCATTACATCACACGAGCAAAATAACCACACACATTACTATATATAGAGGAAAAGAAAGCAAACATGTTAAAAAACAATATAGATTCTCCAAAGTTATATAACCATGCCAAACTAGGAAGCCTATACTCTATAGAAGACATCAAAATACAAACTTCCAATTTTGAGATTTTCATTTCTCCTCTTCATTGTTAATTATCTGTTGTATATGATATAATCTTACTTTTTACCTTAATAAAAAAAATCTTACCAAATTATTGGCACTATAATAGATGTCAAAGGCAACATTCAGTTTAGGACACCAAAAATTATGAGTGATTATTACTCAAAAATATAAGAATACAAAAAAAAACTCAATAAGCATTATTGAACACAGTATACCACTTCCTGGATATAGAAAAAACCACAGGTACAGAATAAGGTTGCCAAATGTCCTGGTATATGCCAGGTGTTACAGAATAATTGTTCATAGTGCATCTTTTTACTCTCAAAATGATAAACTATATGGTTGCTTTAAGTCATCTAATAATGATTCTTTGCGATATACATTTGTTCCTCTTTGTCACTAATCAATGTCACTTAACTTTGTTTTTTTTCTGAGACGGAGTCTCGCTCAGTCACCCAGGCTGGAGTGCTGTGGCACGATCTCGTCTCACTGCAAGCTCCGCCTCCTGGGTTCACGCCATTCTCCTGCCTCAGCCTCCCGAGTAGCTGGGACTACAGGCTCCCGCCACCACGCCTGGCTAATTTTTTTTTTTGCATTTTTAGTATAGACAGGGTTTCACCGTGTTAGCCAGGATGGTCTTGATCTCCTGACCTCGTGATCCACCCGCCTCAGCCTCTCAAAGTGCTGGGATTACAGGCGTGAGCCACCGTGCCCGGCTCACCTAACTTTTTAAAATCTAGCTTTCACCATCCTCCAATCCAATTAATCTCTACAGGACTTACTTTTCCTAATTGCCAAACAGAATGCTGCAATAGTTGGATGGAACTTTGGGTTGTCCACTGCTGGGCATAGGTGAGTGTGTTTGCAGCTGTATATAAGACAGTTGCAACATGACATGTGTAAACATCCTGGATTTGTTTACATGTATGTGTCCATGTGTACAGGGTAACAAAAGCATAAATTTAGTGGGCATCTCTTTTTTTTTTAATCAATCCAGAATCCCTTCCTCCATTCCTTTAAATAACTGCAATTCATTCCAAAGTCCCATGGTCTCAGCAGGACAGCCAGTCACACAATTCTGTACACTAAGCACTGCCATACCACACAAACACCCAAGCTATCATCACCAATGACAAAAGGTGGGGGCAAGTGATCCAATTCCTTTTTCTTCTCCCAGGAATTTTGAGAACAAAGAAAAAGCAGGTGGAGTTTAATTATCTGATGATAACCGTCAAAAAATGACATCTACTAGCTCATGCCTTTGAGCACTCCCAAATTCCTTGGTTTCCAGCTTTCCCAAGACCTAATTATTTAGTTTTTAATTCAAATCTGAGAATCACTCAGTATCCTTCAAAAAAGTTTTCTTTTTACCTAAGTTAATCATAATTATTTCTGTTGCTTAATAATTTTTAAAAATCTAAACTAAAATAGAAACCAACTCCAAAAAGAAGTGATCTGTTTCAAAGAGACACCTTAAAAACTAGAAAAATATTAATACTGGACACTATGAACTAAACATTTCTAAACAAAGTCATCCCTTTGAAAGCATCTCATCTAATCCTATGCTGATACAATAAAAAGAGAGGAAAAATGATTAAGCTTACACAGAAAAACAATCTAACTCAGAAAAATACAATTAGAATTAAAATGGTAAGTAAGGATATATAGGACTAGAAAATCAGATTAAGCCCAGTGTAAATTACACATACTTTATGGAATAACTTAAAAGAAGTGAAAAATTAATCTAAACTAGAAATTAGCAAGAAAAAGTAATAAATTAATCTTTTAGGCTTATTATATACACTTATGTATATGGGTATTCAATGGTTATAAGATAAAAGGAAATTTACATCAATTTCTCCACCTAACCTCATGGCAAACTGATACAAAATGTTTCACTACAGTTAAAGGACAGTAATCATCCTAACAGAAAAAGTAACAAAACTAGGCCGGCACAGTGGCTCATGCCTGTAATCCCAGTACTTTAGGAGGTCAAGGTGGGGGGATCACCTGAGGTCAGGAGTTTGAGACAGCCTGGCCAACAGGGTGAAACTCTGTCTCTACTAAAAAAAAAAAAAAAAAAAATCAGCCTGGCATGGTGGTGCATGCCTGTAGTTCCAGCTACTCAGGAGGCTGAGGCAGGAGAATCGCTTGAACCCAGAGGTGGAGGTTGCAGTGGGCTGAGATCGCACCACTGCACTCCAGACTGGGTGGCAGAGTGGGACTCTATCTCAAAAAAAGAAAAAGTAACAAAACTACTTGTTTATTCTGAACAAAGTTGGTTCAATTTGCCAATAAACTTTTAATCCCTATTGATGGCATTTAATTAATATAGAAAGGGCATTTGAGATTATTTTTAATATGTCACATAGTCTGACGATATTCCAGAAATAAGGTAGTGGGCAGAACAGGTTAGGAAGTGGAAGTCTTGTTAGACGTCATTTTTATTTTTCATATTAACTCACAGAATTTAAATATTAAGGCAGCTCATTCTAATAGCTTGATAAAAACTGAACGACATCGAAATTTTAAAGTAAAAAAATATGGCCCTCCCAGCAACTGATTCTAATAGTAGTTCGGACTTTAAATTTACCTTTTAATTGTTAACATAAACTAGTATACGAGAAAATGCAGGTAGACAAAAATGATTTAAATTTAAATTTTTAAAAACTAGAACAAATCTTCCAAAAATTTCACTGTATGATCAATCAGCCACTAAGGATTCATTTAGAGTTTTCTAGGGGCTGTGCCCTCCCTGCCTATGGGGCTTAATTTAAAGAAGCAGCTTAAATTTGGTTGCCCTTGAAGAATTCCTACCCAGTTGAGGATGTAAGATTAACGTGTATGAGCTACAGGAAATAGAATAAGACATTAAAAGAGCTACAGAAGTTGAGAAAAAGATCAACAACAAACGTAATTTTACGTTGGTATTTAAATGTAGATACAATTTGGATAGGCAGAAACAGAATTGCACAAAGAGCCACATTATGTTAATGTTACAATATTAAGGATATACTATGCGATACTAAGGAAAGTCATTCTGACAAAAAGTGAATTTTAAACATTACAAGAAAAAGACGTGGAAAAAACACAGGCTTTGGGAGATCACAGAAATGGATAATTTAAATTCCTATTCCACCCATGCTAATTGTGACTTTGAACAAGTTATATTAACTTCTGTGAATCTCAGAATACTTAAAAAGAACATTGGAATATCAACTGTACAAGGCAGTTTTGAGGATTTAAACTTGTAATACGTATGAAGTACCTAGCACAGTTTCTGGCATAAGAGCAGTACCAAATGAATTAGAATTACCCTCCCATGTTGCAGAATAGTAGAAAATAAGATTGCTTAGTTAGGGCAGCATTAGGTTCCAGACACTTCCTAAAATTTAAGGATATAGGGCAGATAAAAGAGGAATGCTAACATTAAATAAAAGTAATTTTTAAGACATAAACTGGAATATTAGAAGAGCGAGAACCTAGAATCAATGTGTCTGACTAAGCCATTGTAATCTCAGACAGTATATGGGCACCTGGACCAAAATGTAGCAGTGCAGAAAATAAAGAAGAGACTGATCAAGTTTTGGAACACTGACAATATAAAGTGTGAAAGAATCAAAGATAAGGTTTTTGACCTTAGATAATAGGGAGAATGGTAGCACAAGACCAACACATATCAGAAAAGAGAAAGAAAACATGATTTGAAATTCTCTAAACATATCTTTATTCTCTGTCAAAGACTGCTATAAATATAGCTGACAATCTACTTAATCAGTAAATGTACAAGTAAAAGAGAGAGAGAGACAGAGACAGAGACTGGGCCTATAAGACAGGCTCCAGGCAATAAAATGCAAATAAAAACATACTTTTAAAAAAGTACCTTGTTTAAGTTTGCAAATGGTAAGTTCCTTATTATTTTCTTTTTATTTATGGGAGGAGGAGGAAAGGAAGAAAAAGAGGAAACAGTAGGCCTAAAATGCCTACAGAATTCAAGAAGATACTTACATGTGCCCAAGATGGAGTACTTCAGATCCCCTTCCTCTTGACTTCCTCAATGCTTCCTACTCCCCATCTAGTAGTAAAACATTTTTTTTTTCTATTTAAGCAAACCTATAGCTCAATCAGTTAAAGAGTATGAAGAACCAATGAAAAACCTAAAGGACAGTAAATATTTTGGTGCTAACATTTTTTAAAAATTAATTTGTAAGTCTAAGTACCATTACAATTTTACCCATTTAAATCCAAACAAAATAAATTCCAAATGAACAGTCTTCAATTATCATAGGCAACATGGAAATATAGTTATTATAAAACAAAAAAGATCCTCATTCTGAAGATATCTAATACTTACAGCCAACTGATTACACTTAATAGCAGTAGTGCATAGTGGTCCTCTAACCCGTTAGATTTTCAAAGTGTAGACTACATATCTTTCAGTAATTTGGAAGGCAAGATTATTTTCCCAGAAATCTTACAGTAGTCTTATTGAACATAATTATTCCAAAGGTTGTCAGAGTTCTACAAAAATGACATGTTATCATTCACATTCATGACCACATTCAGTTCATCTCAGCTAATGTATTTTTATGTCTTCTGAGTGCTGTTTGTATTTACTAAGTCTGCATTTTTGTTGTATGCTTTATCGTACCCCCAAGCAATAAAAATGGTTCATGAGTCATGAAAGAATTAAAAGTAGTAATGAAAATAGAACCATAAATAATGCAACTTATAAAAACACAATAAATTTTGAAATTAACAGGACTCCAATACAGTGAATATAGAATATAAATGTGTAT